TGCTGTGCTCAGATCCTTCCTGGTGCAGCCCTTGGGAGTAAACCTGTTGTGCCCTTCTGGCAAAATGTTCTGCTCCTGGCTAACATGAGTGTTTCTGTCCCCTTCTTTCTCTGCAGGGACTGCAGCTGCAGAGTCTCACCCGAGGCCTGTATGCCAGGTCTGGGCTTGATCTGTGGGGGACAAAGGGATGCAAGAGAGAGCGGAAGCTCTCCCATACAGTTTCAGTGTCTGGGCTTGGGCTTAGTTGGGGTAACACGAGGGTCAGGTAGAAGTTCTTACTCACGGGGAGGCTTTGGGTGGCTCTGGATGGGTGGAGCATTTCCGAGTGCATGGCAGAGCATCCTATGTGTTTTGCCTGGGTTTGGGCCAGGGAAGTCCCTCGGGTGCAGTGTAGCAGGAAGCTGTCCCACACATGCATGGAGCCTGGGATTAGGCTGGATGTCACGTGCCTAATTTTTGTCTGGTGAGGTTCCTCGAGCACTCTGTGGTAGCTGTAAGCTGTCCCACACACTCACCATGTCTGGGTTTGGGCTAGGTGCAGCATGCCTGTGTTTGGTTCAGAGAAATCACTGGGGCTCAGGGTAGTCGAAAGCTCTCCCACAACTTGCAGGACCTGAGCTTGGGCTGGATCTGGGGATTCCTGAGATCGCAGCAGAAGTTCTCACTCATTTGGCTCTGTGGGCTCCAGAGTGGTGGATGGGTCTTGAGGGTATGGCAGAGGGTCTCACTCACTTGGTGCACCTGTGTTTGGTCTGGAGAGGTCCCACAGGCTCAGGGTAGCTGTAAGCTCTCCCACACACTCACCGCCATGCTTCTTTTCAATAAAACTTATTTTTTTCTTGTTATTTCTACTAACACGTATTTTTAGTAAATATGTTAAAAGCAATCCTAGGGACAGAATGATGCTGCTTCAATTATATCAAGGAATTTTATATTTTATTGCTAATAATGAATCTCCACATAACCCCTTCTACCTCCCATGACATATTACTATAAGATGCTATTACACAGAGCAATAATACAAGAATGCCTGGTCAGACAGTAAGTGAACATACTAAAGATGGTAGAGGTGAAGATTTTCACAAACAATATAACCTTAAGAGATAACACTAGATTTGACAAAAATGATAACCAAATGAAAATATAATTGGATGATCAGAGAAGAAGCAAATTATAGAAAACAGATAAGAAGAGTATCATAGAGCTAGAGACTGATTATGTTCACAAGATTTCTTATTTTCTCAAGAGAATTACATTATTGACAAAAGAACCCAAGATCAAGATGCTAGTAGTACCCCACAGATGTGCCATATATTTTGAGTTAATAAAGATTCTTCAGGAAAGTCAATAAATGTAGAACAGATTCTGATAGCTCCTTGAGAAATTTGAAGCCTGCTGTAACTAAATCTGCAACTTTAGTGAAATCCCAGTACTGATAAGGTGTGATAGTTCTGGAAGCAGTAAAATCATATGCAGACTTTCCCCTGTCTTTTTTTTTTTTTTTTTTTTTTTTTCAGAACCAGGGATTGAACTCAGGCCCTTGCCCTTTCAAGGGAAGTGCTTATTTCACTGAGTCATCTCCCTGGCCCAAAGGCAGACTTTCTAAAGCAGGTTCTGAGTCTTCTCATAGTGTATGGTCATCTAATGGCTTTTTTAAAAAATCACATCAAGTGGCCTATTCCAGGTCCATCTCTCAGCCAGTCTTCTCATGGAGCATCTATCATTTATCCAGCTGTCAGTGCTCATAGTTTTTTTCAGTGGTAGCCTAAATGGACAAGTACCATTTCCTAGCACTAGCTTCTTTTGCTTCCTTTGGAAGCAGAAGGCATAGCACCTGGCAGTATTCTAATTAACCCACAAGCAGGTCAGCCTTTCACAAACGCAGATGGGAATCCAATCATGTATAATCATCCCATTGATATAGGGGAAAAATGAATCTCCTGACCTGAAAAGTACCTGGACAAGTTCATGTTCTCTAAAATTGAAGAATGAATTTTAGGAACAAATGGAGGTTAAGAGACGATTATTTATTGAGGGAAAGAAAGCTTCTAAGAGAGGGACAGGAGGGGGATGCAAATGGTTTGTCTGGGAAGCTGTCTTTCCCAGGGATTTTATAGAGCAAAACCATGTGGTGAGGAAGGTCTAAGGTGAAAACCATGGGAACTTGCTTAGTCAGGTATGAGGTGGGACAAAAATATGGTCAACCAATACGATTATAAGCACCATTGCAAAGGTAAAATAGATTACAACCGGAATCAAATTGGGAAGCAAGTCATGTAGCAAGCAGGCAAGAATGCAGAACAAGGTCTCTTTCTGTTGGGGGTTGGGTTAGTGACTCTTAGGCTCTTTTAAGGTGATTAATACCTGTTTAGAATTTCAACCCCTGATGCCTATCCTTAGGGAAGTATGTGACTACATTTGTTTGCTCTTTTGTCTTAAGGTCTGTTGCACAATTGGACTTGTCCATCCAAAGTTGCAAAGTCATCTTGTCTTCCATATTGTCTTCTTGAGGGCCTGTCCCTGTCTGACTGCCATAATATTTCTATCCAGTTCAGCTGCCTACATTTCTTCATCTCAAGAAGTAATCTGAAATGCCATGAGGGAACCATGGGTAATGACCACTCTGGATTCTTTAGGGTAAAGGGGTCATAATTGTTGATGGGCAGTCAGGGTTACTCTTCAGAGAGTCTATCTAAAGGCCCTCAGTAGATACCAGGCATTTTCATCTTGGGTAGATGTATAGCTTTTAGTCTGGAGGAGACAAAGCCAAACAAACAATTAAATATGTATGGGTCAAATAATAAGATCAACAGGATTATGAATACACTCAACATCAAGTTCTACCAGGAGGAGACAGTAGTGGTTTCCCATAAAGATGATAAGGACAAGGTCCAGGGGACTTTAGAGGCTGACATATTGATTTTTTTCCTAATGTCTTTAATGGCTTTTGGGCTCTGAGCAGAAGGATCATGAATTTACACACAACATTCAACCTTTATAATTGCACAAACACCTGCCCCGTGCAGCTGTTAGAATGTCTAATGCCATCTGATTTTGGAGGACAGCCTGTCTCATCAACTTTACTTCTTCATTCAAGAAAGAAAGAGAGACAAAGCACAGTGTCATTTAAGGGCCACTTATAGTTAGTTAAGGCCTTAATGTGTTGCATGATATCTTCTAACCCCAGGGAAGAGATAAGACTAGAGGCTAAGTGATCATACCTGTGAAACACACTTCTGGACTACCAATGTTATAGGCAGAGTAAATTTGCAGGTTTGTTGATATTTTTTTTCAGGAAAACATTTTATTTTATTTTCTTCTTAGCAAATGTTCTCATTTGGCACCTGACACAGAAAACCAAAGACCTCAGGCCAACAAAACAGTGCCACTCACAAGTTCCATCTGCAATTCTCTATGTCCACCATCACTGGAGCACCTATTCTTGTCTTTGGTTCCTTGAGGAGGCCTAAATGTGTCTCAGATGTACTAATAATGTTGGCCACAAGGTGGAGGAGAAGTCTGTGAAACTGCAACCAATAGCACGAAACATGAAAGTCTATGAAACAATCTCAAGTGATGAACTTGACAGCTGAGTTCTTTACTTAGGTGGCAGGTTTCCAGACAAGGTCCCAGTAATTCTCTTGTTCAACACTTTCGTGTCTGTAGGTTGGAATGAACAAACAGCTATCCTCTCCCATGACACAGTGGAGAAGATACAAGTGCTCTTGCATTTTCAGAGCCCAACCATCTAAGGAACTATGGTTTAGATGGACGGAACAATGAACTCTTAGGTCACTGCTGCTGGATGGACAAAATCTCCAAGTTCAGCTTTGCTACTTTTGTAAAGAGGTACATTCCTAGCATCCACAAAAATGCTCAAAGCTCAGCAAGACACTCAATTTATATGTGGTTTCCAAAAAGCCTGAGGACTTTCTCAAGATCTCAGTTCAGTATTAGCAACTCAAAACATAAATAACAGGGATATTTCAGGAATCAAGGCTGCTCTGTTTAGCCCTGATAAGGAAAAATCCCAGACTTGACTGGCATAGCGAAAACTGGACATATAAATGCAAATTGAGTGTTCTCTTCTTCAAATCCCAGGCTGGTACTGACTTTTATCATATGTGCATTGCATCTCACATACCTAGGACAGGGCCCGGCTCAAAAAGTAGGCTCCATACTTAAGTTATTTGTTGAATGAATGAACAGAGAGATGAAAGAATAAATGTGGAAATAACCATGCTCTCCCCTGGGTCCTTTATCTAAGACATAAGAGGTGGGTCCTTGTAGTGAGTTGAACAGTTGTCCCAAGAAATACATTCAAATCCCCATCTGGGTGTTGAAGAGATATAATTACTCTATGGACCTTGCACCCACATCATCCTGCACTTGGAGTATCCTCTACTTTCAATGACTGGTGTCCTCATAAGAGAAAAAAAGATTTGCGAAGTGGAAAAAATGAGAAAAGACCCTGTAAAAGTAGACACAGAGACTGGAGTAAAGGCCAAGGCACCAAGGATTGTAGCCACCTCCAGAAGCTGGAAGAGAATAATGGTTCTGGTTTTCCCTCAGAGTCCACAGAAGGAGCCAATCTCCCGAAAGACCTTGCTCTTGGACTTCTGGCACCCAGGAGTATGAAATATTACACTTCTGTTGTTATAAACCACCAGTTTTGTGGTAATTTGCTTTGGAAATTTTAGGAAACTACTTCAGCTTGAGGTATGAGTTGGAAGCAAGTTGTTAGATCACAGAAAAAGAAATAATAAGAGCATTCATGGGCTATAGGTGTAGCTCAGTGGTAGAGCACCTGCTTAGCAAGCACAAGGCTTCCATCCTCAGCACCATACGGGGAAAAAGAGGGAGCTGGAATGAAGGAGAAAAGAACAATAAATATAAAGGACTAAAATACAATATTTATATTTAGTGACTTTCCCTGATAAATGTATTCAACATGTATCACAAATATATACTAATAAAAAATAAAGTAAAAAAAAAGAAAACTGGGTATTCAGACAGGCGCAAGCAAGCTCTGCCTTGAGACCAAAACCTCTCTTCCGGTGTAGCTCAAGCAGGGCCTCAGGTCCAGGACTAGTACTCCAGCTGTGCAATGCTTGTTCCCTGGTTCCTGCCCGAGGCTAGTTGACCTGAAAGGCACGGATCAGGTGCAGCTGCAGAAGAATGAAAACTGGGGATGTGATCTGGCCAAACCAGAGCTCTCGAGTTTGCTCTACCAGCTTCTGGCACAGCAGCATCTCAAAAACAAACTTGAGGCTAAGAACTGTGAGGACCCAGAAGAGATGCAGCACAGCCAGCCGCTTCTCCCCGTCTTGGAAGAGACACAGAGACACGAAGGTGCTGAGCCCATCCACAGCAAAGAAGGTCACGAACACATTCCACCAGGAAAGGCCAGGGGCCAGGCCATCCATGTGGAGTGCCAGTAGCACAGAGAACACCAAAAGGGCCAACAAGTGCAGGAAGATCTCAAAGGTGGTGAAGCCCAGCCACTGAACCAGCTCCCGCAGCGAGAAGAGCATCGCGCTGGCCGGCGCGGGCCAGGGCCCAGCTGAGAGCGCTCCCAAGGAGGCCGCGCTCTGTCTCCCCGCAGGCTTGTCCATCGCATGCCACCGCTGTGAGCAAGCAGTCTCGCCTGCCCGGGTGTGCCGCCAAGCCCGGGACCCAGCAGTGTTCACTGGTAGTTGCCCGCTGCCCGGGCCACCAGGCCCTGCAGGCGCAGGCCGGACACCTTGTTGATATTTTTGACACTCCTGCCTTGTAACCAGGCAAACTCTAATGTGAACCTCTCTATCCATCCAGGAGGTAGCCAGGGCCACCAAACAGTCCCACAAGAGTAATGAGTGCCATTTGGAGCTTCCCATCTAATTCTAGGTTGATTGAACCAGTCCATTGCAAACTTCAGTTTATAAATTATTGTATGAATATACTGTTCAAGTATATACTTGATTGCACCAATGAGAAAAGGAGTGATTTTTTTTTTATTCCCAACAAAATGGGACCTTTCTACTGAGGTCTCCTATGGTGGGTGTTAACCATAGATAATCATCCCACATTTGAAAATAGCCATCTTGATATCTATAGCTGTTGGTCCTAAGGATAGGAGCCTTACTTTTCATTAATAAAGCCCTCAATAACACTTGTAGAGAGGTTTTAGTGACATTTAGGGAAATAATTTATGTCCAGGTTCACCAAGAGTATACTTTATAGGCCATTCAATTACTTTGTAATGGTGGGCTAAGATGTAAACTATTGAACTCTTATGCATCTTAGTAATATAGTCTTGCAGTTTATTCTAGTCACCTCCTTGAAGTGGAGATACACACCAAGGGAGTCCTGATGTATTTGACAAGGGGAGTTAACCACATATCCAGCAAGAGGTTTATTGTAATGATTCTGCATATTACTGTGCCCACTTTAGAAAGGAATTGCATCTTCTTAGAAAGGAATTCCATCTCCAGGTGGTAAAGTGATTGGTAAAATTACTAATAGCAACATCACTTATCTGAGGACTTTTTTTCTTCTTGAACAGGAATCTTTAAGTCTTCTATGGGCTCACAGGAGTAGATTATTTAGGAGTATGTAGTTTTTCATTCCCAGCAACAGTCACTGGTTCCCAGAGTTTGAATCTGGTGTGAGATATCCAAGAGTCCTGTTCTGTTGTCTTGACAGCTCAAGCAGTTGACAGGATCACTGTGTATGGTCCCTCCCAAGTACTACCCAGGGAAGAAGATGATGTGGGAAGGGGCATTATTAGTACTAAATCTCCAGGGTGAAACATGTGATTTCCCTGTTCTTTAGGCTGAGATTCTGTGAGCTGTTGAAGAGTTTGTTGCTATTTAGCCAATGGGGTGATGTCTCTTAGTAAGTCATCTGTTTCTTTATCAAAGAGAAAGTAATTAGTAAGAAAAGGGCATCCATAGAGCATTGTAAATTGATGGAGGCCTTGATTTGAGGTGTACTTCTTATTTTGAGAAGAACTAAAGGCAGTAAGTGAGGCCACTGTGGATGGTTCTCCTGAGCCATTTTAAATTGTCTCTTTAGGGTCTCATTTACTTTTTCTCTTTTTCTGATAACTGTGGCCTCCATGCACAATAGAGATGATAGCAAATACCCACTGCTTGAGAGACATTTTGAGTGACAGTTGCTTTAAAGGAAGGCCCATTATCACTTTGTAAGCTCCTAGGAAGTCCAAATCTAGGGATGATTTCTGAGACTAAGGCTCTTCCACCTCTTGTGCCTTTTCTGTTCTACAAAGGAAGGCTTCAACCCAGTTTGTGAAAGTATTCACCCAGATAAATAAGTACTGAAGTCACTTACTTTTTGGCATATGCCTAAAACCAAGCTAACAGTCTTCCCCAGGGTATTTTTCATGTCTCTGTATACCTGTAGAAACTATTGTTTGGTTGAAAGGATTTTTTTTGGACAGAGTTCACATGTTTTATTTATTTGTTGTACTGTCTGGGAAAACCCCTTTCCTATGAACAATGTTGAAGCCATCTCCTGGGTCTTATCTCTCTCCAAATGAAAGGTCTGGTGTGAAGACTTAAAAATTTTCCATTGATTGGCACCAGGAAGGAACAATTTACCATCATTTGATTGTAACCATCCAGATGGAAGTAACTGACACCCATAGGATGTGGAGGACCACCTGAGCAGCTCTCCTTGAAAGAAGCGTGACCGTCTCCATTTTGACTGAGCCTGGCCTTATTTCCTCATATTGCTATGTACAGAGCTGGCTAGGACTTCTGTTTATCCTTCAATTGGCCTTAAGCAATGTGTACTGGTCTGGCTTAGGTGCTAGTGATAGTATTTGAAGGTGTCATGCATGTTTCCCTGGTAACCTATACCTGCTGCTCTTGATCAATGAGCCAGGTCAAGACAGGATGAAGAGCTAATGCCCTGCACCACGAGCTAGGATTGAGCCTTGAGATAGAGGCTATGACTTCCTGGGGCTTGAAAGACTACATCACAGCTGAAACACCAGACCCCCCAAAATAGTAGATGCTATCTCAATGGCATAATAGTATGTTTGTTCCAGGCACAAGTGAGGAACTTTCAAGAGTTTGATGCAAGGTTACCACAGCATATCCTGCTTTTCTTGTGTCATTTTTCATGAAGTAGCTGCCATCACAGAAAGGTGTCTATAAAGGTCTATCTAATAAATGTTGTCTGGCTGCATATGTATGGAGGATTACCTGTTCACAGTCATGTCTGTCAACCTCAACTTCTTCCTTTTCTAAAAAAAAGGTGTCAGGGTTTAAGGAGGAGCACATCTTTATTTGAGTGGCTGGTCCTAGAGCCTGGTATTTAAGGATTCAACTGTCTGACAAGCACAGGCTTCCCTTAGAAGAAAAAAGTCCTACCACGTTGTGGGGTATATATACGGTGAGATATTTGCCTAAAGTCAACTTGGATGCATCTGGCAGTAAGAGAATCATAGCTGCCATAACTCTAAGGCAGACAGGCCTTCCATTTACTATAGCACTTAATTCATGACTCAGATGCCCTATAGGCTGTTGAGTGGGTCCCTAGTTTTGTGTGAGCACTCCCAAAGCCATTCCTTGCCTCTCGTCTACATAGAAATTGAAACTGTGGTTAGGTTTAGGGCATTTAGAAGGGCTTGTTTAAGCTTGTGGAATGCAGTTTGGGAGTCAGCTTCCAAGTTAAAATATGTGTATCTCCTTTTTGGGTCTCCTTTATAGGCTGAGAGAAAGGTTGTGCAATTTCCCCATACCCTGGTATCCAAAGGCGACAAAAGCCTGTAATTCCTAGGAAGCCCCTTAGTTGTTTTAGGGTCTTGGGCTGTGGATAGGAAAGAACTCGATTAATTCTTTCTTTCCTTGGATTTTGGGTTCCCTTGGACATGTTGAGGCGTTAGCATTTTACCTCAATTCTGCAAAGTTGTGCTTTAGACTTTGAGACATTATAACCTCTGTCTGCTAGGAAATTCAGCAGAACACAAGTGCCTCAGCTACAGAGCTCTTCTGAGGGGGTGCATAAAAGTATGTCATCTATATATTGTAAGACTGTGGCCTGGGAGAATGAAAAACAGTCCAAGTCATGGGAAAGCACTTGTTTGAAGAGAAGTGGACTATCTCTGAACCCTTGGAGAAGCATGGTCAAAGTTAATTGACAGGCCTGGCCATGAGGATTTTCAAAAGCAAAAAGAAACCAAGAATCTGTATGTAAAGGAATAGAAAAGAAAGCATCTTTTAAATCTAACACTGAAAGCCATTTGGCATCTTCTGGAAACTGGGAAAGGAGTATGTATGAGTTAAGTACCATTGGGTGACTGGGCATTGTCGCCTCATTTATCAACCTAAGGTCCTATACTAATTCCATTCCCCATTGGGTTTCTATATTCCCAGGATAGGAATAATACATTGGCTGTTACAGTGCTCAAGTAAGCCCTGTGCCCTTAGGTTATCAATTATAGGTAATAGTCCATTCTTTATTTCAGGCCTTAGAGGATATTTTCTCTGGTTAGGAGAACAGTAGAATCCTTGAGATGAATTTGTACTAGAGAAGCTCTTATTGCTCTATTTTTCCTTTAGTTGCCCATACTTCAGGATTCATTTTTGTCCCCACCAGGAGAAAACAGCATACCTGACCTGGGTGCACATATGTCACTGTATTTAGACAACTTAAAAATATCACTCCTCAAGAGAGAAATTCCTTCAAAAAGGAATTTATTCAAAAATGAATTCCTTCAAAAAGGAATGTGTAAAAAGAAAACCATCTCAGTTACAACCTAGGAGTTGTGAAAAATATCAAATTACCTCCTCTCCAGTGACTCCTTTCACTGAGGTATAATGGCTAGAAGAAAGGCCAGGATTGAAAAGAATGACCAAGAAGCATGCACCAGTGTTCAGAAATAGGCTGGTTTCTTTTCCCTCTATGGTTATGATTATCTGGGGCTCCTCTTTGGAGATGACAGTCTGGCCAGAGGGAGAGGGAAGTGAGTGCCCCAGGGTCCTTCAGTCTTGCTGGACCAAATGACACAATGGACTGAACTCTGAGGCCTTCATTTCAGATGGCAGTTCAACCTCCAGTGGTCACATTTTCAATTAGGGGATGGCCCAGGGGGCTTTTTATGGCAGCCCCTCTTACGGTGGCTTGGTTGGTGGCACCAGTAACAGGTAGAGATTATTGCTGAGTTCTCCTTGAAACTCAAGAGTCAGACTTAGGGGTTTCTTCCTTTAATGCTGCAACAAAGAGCTGGCCAAAAACCTCACATGATTAAAGCACCTGCAAGCAGACACAGGGACCAGAGATTTGATCCCCGGGCCTGCAATGCCTGCTCCACACCCAGGATGTGCTGAGACAGCAATTGAGACTGGGCATGGCAGCGCATGGTGCTTGTAATCCCAGCTCTTTGGAGGCTGTAAACAGGCAGATCACTGCTAGTCTGATCTAGTGGTGAAACCCTGAATGCCCTTCCCTAAAATACAAAAAAATGAAAAATAATAAATAATTTAAAAATGCTGCAACAAATGCAGCTGCTTTTTCCCTGTCTCTG